ATTATTATATTTGACAATTGGATAATGCTGATATTTGATAATTGGAAAATGCTGATGTTTGATCACTGGATAATACTGATAATTAATAACTGGATAATAGTGATACTTGATAATTGTATAATCCTGATATTTAATAATTGGATAATATTGATATTTGGTAATTGGATAATGATGGTATTTGATAACTGGATAGTATTGATATTTGATAACTTGATAATATTTCTATTTGATAATTTGATAATGCTGATATTGGATAATATTGATATTTGATTATTGGATAATGCTGATATTTGATAATTTGATAATATTTATATTTGATAATTTGATAATGCTGGTATTTGATAACTGGATAATGCTGGTATTTGATACTTTGATAATGCTGATATTTGAGAATTTGATAATGCTGATATTTGATACTTTGATAATGCTGATATTTGATACTTTGATAATGCTTATATTTGATACTTTGATAATGCTGATATTTGAGAATTTGATAATGCTGATATTTGAGAATTTGATAATGCTGATATTTGATACTTTGATAATGCTTATATTTGATACTTTGATAATGCTGATATTTGATACTTTGATAATGCTGGTATTTGATACTTTGATAATGCTGGTATTTGATACTTTGATAATGCTGATATTTGAGAATTTGTGCACCAGTCCTGACTCCTGGGCCAGGACAGGAGCTCCTGGCACCCTGCACATCTGTCACTGCCCTGTCACCTCCTCCAGCAGCTCCAGCCCAAAGCTCCTCCACATTCCCAAACCCCAGGTGGCTCCAAGCTGGCCTTGGACACTTCCAGGGATGCAGGGGCAGCCACAGCTGCTGTGGGAATCTCCAGAATCCTGAACCTGGGGCTGGGAACTGCGGCTGGAGTCGTTCCCAGCCTGTGATGCCTTTCCCAGATGTGCACCCAGATAAAAACATTCCAACCCCTTCTCCCAGGGGCTGGGATCCCCCTCTGTGGGAAAACCGAGCTCAAATTCCCCCAAAAACCTGGGAAAACAAAGAGGTGTCAGCTCTCTGAGGGAGGAAAATCAACATCCAGGAATTCCAGCTTGTTCCCTGTGTTTGCAGACTGAGGGAAAAACCTGAGGGTTTCAAAAAACAGTTTAAACCAATTAAAAATCGGTTTTGAAGTTTCAAGTTTCGGTTTTAAGTTGAAAAAAAAACCCACAAGTTTAAAAATCAGTTTTCTGCTGGTGAGCTCAAGTGCAGGAGCTCAGGAGGAAGGAAAAGGTTTCTTACAACCCACGGATGTTTCGCTGCTGCCCAAAAACCCTTCCCAGTTTGTTGGGTTTTCCTTGAAAACGTGGGGTTTTCACCCAAATCCTTCATCAGTGATTTCACTTCCAAGAGCTGCAATTTCCTCAGCTTTTCCCAGCTTTTTGCTGTGGGTTCAGCTGCTCTTCCAGGCAGCGTTTCCTATTTCCCCCAAAAAGGTTCAGCTGAGCCATCCCAAAATGAACATTTTCTGCTTTGACAGATCTGAACTTCTCAGAATTCTGACAAATCACCCAAACCCTGAGCTCAGAGAGCACGTGAGCCTTGCTGGGAAACAATCCCCAAACCAAGCCCAGACCCAGGGGGTTGTGGTTTTTTATGGATGGGGGATTTTTTGTGGGGAGGATTTTATGGATGGGGACATTTTGTGGGGGTTTATGAGGATTTGCTCCTCACTTTGGGGTGCAGACAAGGCAAACCTTGCCAAGCTCAGCCCTGCAGCTGGAATGGGACCTCTGGGGGTGTTTCTCAGGGTAATCCTGGTGTTTATTGGGATGATCCTGGTGTTTCTCAGCATTCCCAGGGAGGGAAAGGTTGGGTGACTCAGGATGGAGAAGGCAGCACTGAGCAAACCCTGGCGATCCCTTTGTCCTGCCCACATCTCCCTAGAACAAACTCCAGGGGTTTTCTCAGCTCGTGGAGCAGTAGAAAAGGGAATTTTTGGGTTGGAAAACCCGTGTGGGGGCCGTGGGGTGAAGGTTTCTGGGCGTGCAGGTGCCGTGTGGGAGGGCAGGAAGGACAAACCCCAGGGTGAGTCAGCAGCGCTCTGGCTGCTTCCTTATCTCAAATCTCTGAGCAGAAAGGGCAAAGCAGCAGCTGAGCTGAGCTGAGCTGGAAAAGGGCTCCAGAACTGCTGGGAAGTGCAGGCAGGGCTTGGATTTGGGATTTTCCTGCTGCCAGAGAGAGCAGGTGAGGGGGAATTTTGGGATGCGGCTGCAATCAAAGGCGGCGCCGTGAGCGTGGATGGGAATGGGGGATGCAGCTCAGCCCAAAACCAGAATTCCCAGCAGCAAAACACAGAATCACAGTGGGAAGGAGGGTCCCACCCAGGAAAAGATGGAATCACAGTTCCCATGGTGGGAAATGAGGCTCCCACCCTGCTCAGAGCCTCCCTCCTGGCTCTCCTTGGGGGAACTCCTCCTCTTCTTCGTATTACATCCCAAAAACGGGGCAAACACCTCTCCCTCTCCTCATTCCCTCCCAAAAACGGGGCAAACACCTCTCCTTCTCCTCATTCCCTCCCAAAAACGGGGCAAACACCTCTCCCTCTCCTCATTCCCTCCCAAAAATGAGGCAAACACCTCTCCTTCTCCTCAATCCCTCCCAAAAATGGGGCAAACACCTCTCCCTCTCCTCATTTCCCCCTAAAACAGGGGTGAAAATCCCAACTTTTCCCTTCCCTTTAATCCTTAAAGGATGAGCCATGCCCCTCAATAAACAAACAACACTCAGGAAAACAGGAGGGATGATGCAATTTAAAAAAAAGAAAAACAACACAACAGATTTGGGGGTTTTTTGCCTTTTTTTAAGGCAAGGAATAGAAGAGCAGAGCTGGTACTGACAGGCTGAGAAAGAAAGAACAAAGAAACCAGAGCAAACTCCTCACCCTGAGCCAGCAGCACCCCATGCAGGGATTTCTGAACCAGCCCTCCAAGTGAATTCCCAGAAAATCACATGGATTCAGGAGCAGGAGCCTTTCCAATGTTTTCCTGGCAGGGCTAAGGGCCAATTCCCAGCTCCTGGGTTTGCTCAGGAGCTCAGTCTGAGCTCTTTGTGTGCTCTGAGGGGGCTGCAGCAGCTCCAAGGAGGGATTTGGGGGACAGATTTGACAGAGAGGTTTTAGGGATGGATTTTAGGGACGGATTTTAGGGACAGAAGCAGGATGGAAGGGAAATTCCTGGGAAATTGAGGATGGTGGAAGAGCCAGAGCAGCACAAACAACTCTGCAGTCACAGGGCTTGAAAGGCTCTTTGAATTTCTGTGTGCAAAAAGGACAGGGTGCAAATGCCACAGAGTGCTCCAAAGGCTCTGGATCATCCCTGATGATCCATCCCCACCTCCTCCAGCCCCAGGAATGAGTCAGGCAGGCCCTGAGCAGGGCAACACCTCCGTGCAAGGCTGGGCCACTGCACCTTCCCCACTCACAAACTGATTTCTGCAGCTCAGAGAGCAAAAAAAGCCACGAATTCTGTGCAATCTGAGTAGAAAAATAAATATAAAACAGATTTAACAGCACCCAGCAGCAGCAGCAACAGGCACAGGAGCCTGAAAGTTTTTTATCTGCCCAATTTTCTCTCCTCCTTGCACATCTGGGCAGCTGTTGAGGCCAAAACTCAGGCTGTGCTGATCAGGGGAAGAAGAAAAGAATTAAAAAAAAGAAAAAAAAATCCCACCTCCAGCTGGAAGGCACCCAAAAGCCTGGCTGCAGCTTGGGTCTGAAACAGCACCTTATTTAGACAATCTGAGGAATGTTTGGGAGGCTGCTCTGGCTGGGGATTTGCATAATGGGTGTCTGTCCGTGCTTACCTAAGAGCACAGGAATCCTGTCTGTCAGTCAGTCTAGACTGTGGGGCTGCATCCAGGGAATCTCCCAGCCAGGAATAACACGGGCAGCAGGGCAGGGTGCTGCCACCTGCTGATGGCAGCCACGAGTTTGGCAGCAATTTGGATTTTTGGGGTGCTTTTTTTTTGGCTTAGGGTTGTGGTGAAAAGGTCGGTTCGGGGTGAAGAGTGGGGGAAAATTCATCTCCATCCTCATCATCCTCATCCTTCTGGGAGAATCCCAATGCTCCTGGTGGCCCTGCAGAGCCTCACCCCGCTCTGCTGGTGGCTCCAGTTTTAATTAAAGCGCTGGGAGCGCTTTGATTAAGGAATTTCCATAGAAATAATGAGATTAAAGCCAATTAATAAACAATAAAAGCAAAGCCCCACAAGCGCGGCCCAAGCGCGCCCTCTGCGGGCCGCACCCAGGAACTGCAGGCAAGGAAATCCTGGGAGATTTTTTTCCCCTAAAAATGAAATTTTAAGGGATTTTTCACCCGAAATGCACAAAATCAGCCTATTTCCATTTCCCAAAGCCTGGCTGCGACACTCGGGGAAACGCAGAGCTCTGGAGTCACCTGGATCTCAGCTGTTTGGGTGATCCAGGAGCAGCGACCTGCTCCTCATCATCATCACCATCACCATCATCATCATCATCACCCCAATGTCCTCCTGTCCCAAAGCCCCTGTGGGGAGCTCAAACCCCTCCCAAACCCAGAGAGGGCTCAGCCTCTGCCCATTGAATTCCCAAGGTTATTCCAACAAAAAATCCCTGAGGATGACCCAGCCCTGGGACAACCCAGCCATAATTCCCAGCTCTGGGTTTGTCACCTCCAAACAGCCCCAAACAGCCCCAAATGACCCCAAACAAGCCCAAATAACCCCAAACAAGCCCAAATAACCCCAAACAAGCCCTGCACGGAGCTTCCCATGGAGCAGCAGCTCCCACACAGCTCCAGGTCCCCTCTGGAATGCAGAGATCTCCCTCCCTAATTAATGAGGTAATTGTAGCACATAATGAGGCCCCAGCAGCAGCAGCACCTCAGAACCCAAATTCACATCCAAACCCATTCCAAGGCCTTCATCCAGACGGTTTCCCAGATAAAATGAACCAATTAATGGGAAATTAATCAATAATGAGACAAATTAAGAGGTCTCTGCTCACCTTCCTACTGCAGAGCAGCCTTGTTCGTTCTCTCTCTGTGTGGATTCCTTGATTTTTTTCTGGATTCCTCGATTGCTCCTGCCAAGGAAAATGGGAATTCAGATCCACCAGCCCAAGCAGATGGAGCTGTGTTATTAATGGAGTTATAATTTGGGATATTTACACCATTATGGCATTAATGAAGCATTGGTGAGGATCAAACCAATCCCTGGTTTGATCAATATCCAATTATTCACTGGAAAATCAGGGCTGATATTTCATTGATCAATAATCAGAATAATGACAGGGAAGCTGTGGGATTTTCCTTTGTTTTTATAAATCACAGCCTGGGTGAGAGCTCAGGGAAATATCTGGGTCTAAATTGTATTTTTTTTGGGGGGAAAGCAAGAGGGAGAGGGGTTTGTATTATTTTGGGGGAATGAGGAGAGGGAGAGGGGTTTGCCCCATTTTTGGGGGGAAATCAATGAAAGGAGTTTGCATCATTTTTGAGGGGAATGAGGAATTGGAAAAGTGTTTGTTTGCCTCATTTCTTGGAGGAAATGTTAAAAATAGGAAGTGTTTCCCCATTTTAGGGGGCAATGAGGAGAGGGAAAAGCATTTGCACCATTTTTTTGGGGGGGAAACACGAAAAAGAGGAGGAATTTCCCCCATTTTAGAGGAGAATGTGAAGAAGAGGACGAGTTTGCCCCAGTTTTGAGAGGGAATGATGAGAGGCAGAGGTGTCCCCCCATTTTTGGGGGGGAATATGAAGAAGAGAAGGAGTTTTTGTCCCATTTCAGAGAAGAATATGAAGAAGAGGAGTTTGCATCATTTTTTGGGGGGGGAATATGAAGAAAAGGAGGAGTTTACCCCATTACAGAGGAAAATATGAAGGAGTTTGCATCATTTTAGAGAATATGAAGGAGTTTGCATCATTTTTTGGGGGGGAATATGAAGTAGAGGAGGAGTTTGCCCCATTTCAGAGGAAAATATGAAGGAGTTTGCATCATTTTAGAGAATATGAAAGAGTTTGCATCATTTTTTGGGGGGGAATATGCAGAAAAGGAGGAGTTTGCCCCATTTTAGAGGAGAATAATAATAAGAGGACTTTGCATCTTTTTTGGGAGGGGGGAATATGAAGAAAAGGAGGAGTTTGCACCATTACAGAGGAAAATACGAAGGAGTTTGCATCATTTTTTGGGGGGATATGCAGAAGAAGAGGAGTTTGCCCCATTTCAGAGGAAAATATGAAAGAGTTTGCATCATTTTTTGGGGGGGAATATGCAAAAAAGGAGGAGTTTGCATCATTTTTTGGAGGGAATATGAAGAAAATGAGGAGTTTGCCCCATTTTAGAGGAAAATATGAAGGAGTTTGCATCATTTTTTGGGGAGGAATATGAAAACAGAAGAAGTATTTACATCATTCTAGAGATGGTTACCGAGCATTTCAGCACAGAAAACAAAACAAAACAAAAGAGGTTTCAGCACAGAACAAACTTTCTGAGCATTTCAGCACAGAAAACAAAATAAAATAAAGTTTCCTGTCCTGGCTGAGCACATCCTGGAAGGTTTGAATTTCCAAGAAAAGCTCAGTCCCAGGCTGCAGGAACGAGCTGCCCTCGGGAGAGCTCCCAAACCCCCCCGAGAAGCCCTCGTGCCTCACGTCCCCTTCCCAGGACAACATTGCTCAACACAGCTGAAGGCAGAGCAGCAGGCAGGGAGGGATGGATTCCAAGAATCCATCAGAGCTGAAATCCAGCCCTGCTTGTTTTCCTCGCTCACTGGCTGAACACAAACAGGGTTTTTTTTGGTTTTTTTTTTGTTTTGGTTTGGTTTTTCTAAAGGAGTCAAACGCACGTCAGTGATTCTGGGCTGGGGTTCAGGCCAAGGTTGCTTTCACCTCCTCTTTCTGCAGTGGATTCAGGGATGAGGAACAGCCAAAAAAAGCAGTTTAAACTTGTTTTGGTTTTGTTTCTTAACAAAGATTTTTACAGATTTCACATTGCAGGGCCAGCTCTATGTGGAAATAGGAAGGTGAGGGCAGGGAACAAAAATGGCTGAATGTGGGGCAGGGTCAGGAGAGCAAAAAGGAGCTGGGGATAAAGGCACCAACACCTCCCAAGAGCTCCAGGTTTGGAGCTGGCCTTGGAATGGGCAATCCCTGAGGCTCAGGGAACCCTGGAATGGTTTGGGCTGGAAAGAGCTCAAATCCCACTCAGTTCCACCCTGCCCACTGCCCCAGGCTGCTCCAAGCCTCTGGAATTGGGCACTTCCAGCCATTCCCACTGCTCCAGGGAGCTTTTCCACAGCACCACCCATGAATCCTTGGATTCTGGGGTGGGGGTTTAGCTGGATTTGGGATGGGGGGGATGGAAAAATAAAAGCACCTGCATCATCAGGATCACTGCTCCTTCCTGCTGGTTCCCTCCAGAATGCTGTAAGTGACCCCAAAGGACTGAAATTGCAGGGAATGCATCAACACAGCCCAGCTGATAAACAAACAGGGCCACAAGCAGGGGAGTGTGGGGCTGGGAGGTTCCACGGGCAGGGGAGGCCACCAGGGAATTTGGGATAAGAGCCAACCCTCAGCTGCCATCCTGACTTCAAGAGGGATTTTCCAAGGCAAAGCATCCCATGGAGGTGAAGCTGCTGCTGGGATCAGCTCCACACAAAGCACCCCAAAAACCCAACCACCTCCAAAGACCTGAGCCCAATGGGTAAAAGGAACCCATTAATGGCAGATTAATCAATAATGAGAATTCCCTTCCCTTCAGACCAAGGCAGCAGCTGGAGCTGAGCTGAAATCCTGCAGTGACAGCACAACCTGAGCTTTATTTCTGTCAGTTTTCCCTGGAATTTTGGGCTGCTTTGGGTTTCTCCTGTTGTGTTTTCCTTTCCAAAGCAACGCAGGGGCTCCTGCACTAAAAATGGTTCAACTTCAGGTTCAGAGCTGCTCTCAGAGACCCCATGGGGGGACCTGGCAGCAGCTACACCACAACCAAAGGGAAAAACAACCCTGGAGCTTTCCAGAGGGACAGGATCCCATCTCTGGATTGTTGTTTACAGCCCTGCAGGATCCCTGCTCTGCGAGGCAAAACAAGGCTGACCTCAGCTGGAAGAAACTCTGCCCCCTCCTTCCTCCCAGCCCTGTGCTGGTGCAAAGCTTTGCAACTTGATATTCCACAGGCTCCTGTTTACAGACCCTGCAGCGGCCCTGCCCTGCTGCCAGCCCAGCTGGGGACACTTGGGGACACTTGGGGACACTGAGGCTTCCCTGGACCCAGACACTGCCCTGCCCTCTGGGAAACAGCCCCTGGCCCTGGCTCTGGAGGGCTTGGGCAGGCAATTCCTGATGGGAATGTCACACTGGCACCTGGGGCAAAATCCTGGCTCTGTCTGGCTTTTCCTGCCTCTATTCCCAGGCTTTCCTGGCTGTATCCAGGTTTTCCTGCCTGTTTTCCTGGCTGTATCCAAATTTCCCTGGCTGCATCCAGGTTTTCCCACCTCTATCCAGATTTCCCTTAGTGTATCCAGGTTTTCCTGCCTGTATCCAGATCTTCTGCCTGTATCCAAGTTTCCCTGGCTGTATCCAAGTTTTCCTGACTCCATCCAGGTTTTCCTTTCCTGTATCCAGGTTTTCCTGTCTGTATCCATGTTTCCCTGCCTCTATCCAGGTTTCCTTGCCTCTATCCAGGTTTTCCTGAGTGTATCCAAGTTTTCCTGCCTGTATCCAGGTTTTCCTGCCTGTTTCCCTGCTTCTATCCAAGTTTTCCTGCCTGTATCCAGGTTTCCCTGCCTCTATCCAACTTTTCCTGGCTGTATCCAGGTTTTCTTGCCTGTATTTAGGTTTTCTTGCCTCTATCCAAGTTTTCCTGGCTGTATCCAGGTTTTCTTGCCTCTATCCAGGTTTTCTTGCCTGTATCCAGGTTTTCTTGCCTCTATCCAAGTTTTCCTGGCTGTATCCAGGTTTTCTTGCCTCTATCCAGGTTTTCTTGCCTGTATCCAGGTTTTCTTGCCTCTATCCAAGTTTTCCTGGCTGTATCCAGGTTTTCTTGCCTCTCTCCACGTTTTCCTGGCCTTCCTTCCTTCCCTGCCCCTGCCAAGCCAGACCCATCCCTTTCAGAGATGCCTGGAGCGGGTGTGGGCAGCAGGAAGGGGAATTCCTTCCCCAGTTCTCTGGAAGCACCAACAGTTGGGAATGTGAAGCATCCTGGAGGGCCAGAGCCAGGAAGGAAACCGGATCCTGCAGCCCAACCCACCAGAATTCCCCCCTGGAGCCAGGAATGCTGTGGGAAGGAGCAGGAGCCTTTCCAGGAGGAGCTCCCAGCTCAGCAGCAGCAGGAATTGTGTGTGCAGGAATTGTGTGTGCAGGAATTCTGTACAGCAGGAACTCTGTGCTGCAGGAACTCTCTGTCCCTGGAATTCTGTGCTGCAGGAATTTTGTACAGCAGGAATTCTGTGCTGCAGGAATTCTGTGCCCCTGGAATTCTGTAATGCAAGAATTCTGTGCTGCAGGAATTCCTTGCTGCAGGAATTCTGTGTCCCTGGAATTCTGTGTCCCTGGAATTCTGTGCCCCTGGAATTCTGTACTGCAAGAATTCCGTGTCCCTGGAATTCTTTGCTGCAGGAATTCTGTACCCTTGGAATTCTGTGCTGCAGGAATTCTGTGTCCCTGAAATTCTGTGCCCCTGGAATTCTCTGTCCCTGGAATGCTGTATTGCAGGAATTTTGTACTACAGGAATTCTTTGCTGCAGGAATTCTGTGTCCCTGAAATTCTGTGCTGCAGGAATTCCATGGCCCTGGAACTCTGTGCCCCTGGAATTCTGTGTCCCTGGAACGCTGTATTGCAGGAATTTTGTACTACAGGAATTCTTTGCTGCTGGAATTCTGTGCCCCTGGAACTCTGTGCCCCTGGAATTCTGTGCCCCTGGAATGCTGTATTGCGGGAATTTTGTACTACAGGAATTCTGTGCCCCTGGAATTCTGTGCCCCTGGAATTCTCCAGCCCCCTCAGGAATTCTCCAGCCCCTTCCCAGCCCTGGCTCCAACCCCTGGGTGTCTCTCTGGATGCTCAGCTCACTCCCAGCATTAAATCCCC